CACTCGTCTGCGTGTAAACTTTAATTTCCATACAGTTGGGTGAGGGTCTCCGGGGGCCCCACTCGTCTGCGTGTAAACTTTAATTTCCATACAGTAGAGGGTTTACAGTACAAGCAACACGTGACATAACGTTGCAGCAAAGCTCACAATACACCTCAAAACCTGTCCCCAGTGAGGCACTGTCCCCGGCGGGCTGCCCGGCCGCTGCTGGGGGCAGGTCCACGGGAAGCAGTCGCCCCATCCCAGCGCGGTGTTGGGGTGAAGCCGGCTCAGTCCTTGCACGTGTCCCCTCCCCGAGTCCTGTTTCCTGGGCCTGGTTCCATGTCTGGCTCGTCGCCGTGTCCCCGGGGGGCCGGCAGCTCGGGACATTCCCTGCCCTCCGGGGCTCCAGGCGCCGGGGCGGACAGCCCCTGGTCGTAGGACGAGGTGGGCGCGGCCGTGGACGGCTGCGGGAAGGCCTTCCTGGGGGAGGGGAGCGGGGAGTGTGTGAGGGGCAAGTGGAGGGGGCAGGGCTGGGCCTTCAGGGGAACCCCAGAGTCCGTGCTGGGTACCCAAGGCCTTGGCAGGGCGCCCAGGAGCATCCGCGCAAGGGGCATCCTGCGGCCTCGGGCACCGGCACCGGGAGGCAACCGCCCTGAGGCTGAGGCCGCAGCCCCGCCGGCCCCTGGTCCCTCGGAGACGGGCAGCGGCCCTGCTGCGGCACCACGTGGTCCTCGGTCCGGCCGGCCGCCCCGGGCGCGTGCGCCGTGCGCCCTTGTCCGTCTGCGCAGGCGCGGCCTGGGCGGCGGCGCCCCCTCACAGGACCACCTCGGGCGCGATGCTGAAGAGCAGGTCGTCATTGCCCCTGCGCACTTCCAGGAGCAGCGGGGACTCCGTCAGCACCGCCTCCTGCAGCTCGCTGGAGTCCGCCAGGGGGCGCCCGTTGACCTTGACAATCAGGTCGCCATCTTGGATGCCACCTCTGCCAACAGGGGAGACACTCGGTCACCGCACGCGCCCGGCTGGGGCTCCGGAGGGCTCGTCTCAGCCGCGCAACCCAGTTAATGACGAGAATGACAGTTCAACGGGGAAGGGCCGTGTCCTGACTGCACGGTCTGAAACCCAACACCCAGACCTGCTACCTGCCGGTCGACCCCGACTCGTGTGGCCGGTGTGTCGGCCTCCGACGGCTGCGCTCCGGGGAGCCGAGCTGCAGCTTTCTCGCGAGTGCCTCTGCTCGCACTTGAACCTCTGACCTTTCTGGGAGCAGGAATGCTCGGCCGTTTGAACCACTCAGGACTCCGCAGAGACTCGGCACCTGACGTAAACCTCGGCCAGGCGCTCTGCTCCTCGAGCCTCAGTTTCCCCACCTGCCGTCCCAATGGGAGGGCACCGTGCAGGGGCCAGAGGTCGGGGGGCGCCGTCAATGTCCCTGCAACGGCTGAGAGCTCCGGCTGGAGGCGGCGCAGTGAGGGCCAGCCTCCCGGTCCTCCCTTGCCCTTCTCACCCGGAGGGCAGGCAGGCGGGCATTAGGGTGCGGCGCTAAGGGTGCGGGTGCCAGGCAGGCCGACTGGGCTCCAAGTCCCGGCTCCACGCCGGCCGGCTGTGTCACCACGGAGCAGCCCCTTCTCCGGGCCTCAGTGTCCTCCGAGCCGTGGGCTGAGAGCAGCACCCGCCTGGCCCGGGCTCAGCGGGGACCAGGCGACACGCTGTGTGTGAGCGAGGGCTGTTTCCTCCCGCTGGTGCCCGCGGGGCTGGCCAGGGGGCCGCTGCCACCCGAGTCAGCCGTGCCCAGCGACCCGGCCGGACGAAAGGCCTGCGTGTGTCCATCTCGACCACCCTTCCTGAAGGCGGCTGTGTGTTGGTGCGGGTGTTAACCGCACTCACCCCCGTGGGCCCTGAGGGCCCGCTTATGGACTGAACTGTGTCCCCCCAGATCATGGCTGGCACCCCACCCCAACACGGTGGGCGGAAGCAGAGTTTCTGTGTTGTATGATGAGGTCACACAGAGGAGGGAGAGTCCTACACCTGATCCCGCCTGCGCCATCAAGGACCCAGAAGACACCCCCCCACAACCCCCTCCTCCCCACACACGGGGCCGGCAGATGCCCTGTAAGGAGGAACCAACCCCCAGGGCTACCAACAAAGAGACCTGGCTCGGACTTCCAGCCTCCAGGACATGGCAGACGGAACCTTCATTCTCACGGCCGCCCTCCCGGGGCTCGTGTCACAGCGGCCCTCGGCCACCAGGACAGGCCTCATCCCCACATAGCCTCACAGAACAGCACAGAGCGTGACACGGAAAAGGGGGCCCTGTATTGTTGAAAGGGCTGTGTGGGCCTGCAGTCCTGCGGCCCGACCCCTCGGTGGGTCACCCGGCTTCTGACAGGTTAAAACTGCCGGTCTGATCCACCCCGTCCGTTGCACAGATGGGGAAACCAAGGCCAGGGCCCAAGATGCCAGTCCTGTCAAGGTGACCTGACTCACGGCACCCCATGCGCCCCACGCGCCCCGGGGTTTCCAGGGGCTGGTTCTTCAGAAGCCGACTGGTCAGGCCTTTCTTCAGAGGCGGCTCTAGGCAGACTCACACCTCCAGCCTTTCAGGTGAGAGCCAAGCGCTGGGACCCCAAGGCCAAAGCTGGGGAGAGACGTGTGCAACGTCCTGGTGGCACGGCCATGGCCACAGGGAACGCCTTAGGGCGCTGCAGGGCCAGGCAGCGTTTCAAAGGCAACAAGGCTCTGTCTCATTCGACCTTGGCACGGTCTCCCTGGTGGAAGGCCTGGGCTGTGTCGTCCCCATTGGACAGATGGCACTGACTGAGGCCCAGCAGCCACGGGTGGGGGAGACAAGGGGCCATGGGCTCGGGTGGGCACGTTCCAGCCTCCGCTCCTCCCTCCCCCCAGACTTGAAGGAAAGACCACTCTCCAGCCCTCCCTGGCTTCCACCTGCCCTGTCACGCCAGCCTGCCAGGAAACTCAAGGTCAGACAGACACAGTGAGGTCAGCGAAGCACCATCACCCCAGCCCGAGGGTCGCATCCCCTCCTGGCCGGCCTCCCCGCCACCTCCGGGCAGAGCCTACCTGTGGGAAGGTGAGTTCGGGACGACCTCCTGGACGTAAATCCCACTGCTGACCTCAGGGAAGTCTGGGTTGCCGGCCTTCAGCTCTTCCACCAAGCTGAAAGACAATGCCCTGTTAGGGGGTGCCCTCTGAGCCCCAGAACCGGCTGCCCCCTTCCCTCTGCCACTCACACAGGGAGCCCTCTCCGGCACCCGCCACCCTGTCCTGCACTGTCTGTTGTCTGCCCGCCAGACAAGGGCTCCTTGAGAAAAAACAGAGGGAAAGTTGGTACAGTGCAAGGGAGACCATGTGTCCAGAGCTGAGTCTTCTTCCAGGAAGTCTTCCCAGACTGCCTTCTCCTCTATCCCAACGGAGGGCGGCGGGGTACCTGCTGCTTCCCCTGGTTCTCAGCCTGTCACACTGGGGATGACATGCCACCATCACGGGTTCTTTGCCTGTCAGTAGCCCCCACTAGGTGGTGAGTCTGAGGGGCCAGTTACCATAGCTTACTGCAACCCAGAGAAAGATGGGTGGTGGACGGTGGATGGATGGGTGGATGGATGGATGGATGAAGAACACTGCTGTTTTTAAATGAAAAACTGGCATATTGGTCTTGCATGCAAATTACTTTCTAATAGAATCCCTAGATCCACAGTTTTTGAAATAGGAGGAGATATCACTTTAGTGACTGAGGCAGTGGTATCACTAGAGTGGTGCAGGGGGTGTGGGCCACACTGGGTGACAGTGTCAAAGGAGGCAATCCAAAATGACCATTTACAAAACTTTTGTGCACTGTTTCAGTAAAAATTTATTATTTTTTAATAAAAATATCCCTGTAGTTATTTATAACAAAACATTTTTTTCTAAGCTCAGCACACAGGTATCAGTATACCTGCAAGGCTAAAACTTTGTGCTAACTTGGTGTTTGATCCTTCTGGCATAGTGCTTAAGGCACCTGACTGCTGACCAGGAGGCGGGTGGTTCAAACCCTCCAGCCACTCCTCAGAAGGAAAGTTGGGCAATCTACTTCCGCAGTGATACCACCTCGGAAACCCAAGGAGGGGTCGCTGAGAGTCGGATCCAACTCCA